TTTTCATTGCTTTTAGAGGGAGAGTAAGGGAGAGAGAGAAACATTGATTGGCTGCCTCCCATATGCACTGGGATGGGAGATTGAATCTACAATGTTCCCCGACTGGGAATTGAATGCATAGTCTTTCGGCTACTGGACGGCACTCCAACCAACAGAGCCACACTGGCCAGGGCTGCCTCTGACATCTTAAACATCAGTTTTATTCACATCATTATTTCTTATATGTTTGTTTTTAAAATAAAATCTTGGTATCTTAATTTTAGGTTCTTCTTCTCTTTTTTTCCCATATTATAATTAAAAATTATGTATCCCAGGGAGATAACCTAATGGATTATCCATTGGACCCCCAAATCCAGTGGACCCCAAGGAATTCTTAAATGCTTGTTTTTCTTATTTTCTTCCTTTTTCAGTTTTCATACTTGAAGGTAAAAATTTAAGTAGCTTGGGTTTTTACTAATTGAATTCACATATCTTCAATTCTCTTTCCTTTTATTAACAAATAATATACATTTATCCTAAGAAAAATTAGGACTATAGAGGCTTGAAAACAACGTAAATCACCCAAATACTGTTGAGAGATTCCCCATTGTATTTTGGTGTATATTTTTCTAAGTGTTTTATGTTTTTCTCCAAATATGGAGTCTTACTATTTGCAGTTTTGTAAATTGCTTCTTTCATCTGACATTTAGATTTTTTCCAATATTTTACTATTTTAAATATCAATCTAACAGTAGCTTATTCCATATCTTTTCCATTTATCCAATTACTTCTTTAAGATAAATACCTAGAAGGGTAATTATTATATCAAAGTATCTGTGATTATATAATGATAAAATTTCCCCACTATTTAAGTCCTTGTCATTTTTTTCTCTCCCACCAGAGAATTTCTGTTTTTTGTTTCTCTCTTGCATTTGTGTACTGTTCCTCTAATCTATGACACACATTCACAAATATTTATTTCTTAAGGAGGAAGGAATCTTTATCATGAAGTGGATTACTTAAATATGGACTTTATTAATTTCATACAGTTTATTTCTTCATGAAGCATTTGTTGAGCACTATGTGGTATACTATGGGTTACAGAGAAGGAAGACATAGACATTGTTCTCAGTTAACTGTTACAGTCTAGTGGGGAAGATAGAAATTCTAGGCATGTCTGAAGGTGGAGATGAGGTTTGGGGTTGAAAGCAGAATGACTAAGGAAAATTTACTGTGAAGTCATAATTGTAAAGTTGAGACCAGTCACCATCTGTGTGATTTTAATTCAGCTATATTTAGGCTACTTGGGGGAATATAGACATTTGGACTTAACCAGGCTTGAGGTTTTGCAGCTGAAGCTAGAAGGTCAAAGGGATATGGTTCCAGAAAAAAACAAACAAACAACTTAAGATGTTTGGGATAGTTACATGGTATTATTGGAGTGTCTCATGCATTAAAATATACATATGCACACATGTACAGGATTTGACTTTGAATCCATAGAGTCAATTTTATTTATTTAAAAAAATCTTTAGTTAGCTAGGTATTAGAGGGGTGAACCTTATTTTTGCCTCCTCATTCTCATTTGGCTTTGGTACTTCTACTCCATGCTGCCTTCTTGTACTTCTGATGTGATTTAGTTCTTTTTAATGAATATGTCTATTTCTCAGTATCAGCAACTCTTCTCATTTAGAGTATGTAGCATGTACTTATTTTTTCAAGTTCTCAAAACAGGAAAATCTCTCACCAGTGATTTTCATTGCATTTTTTTCTATTGCTTTCTGGAATTTTAGGCCTTTTTCTCATCCTATTATTTTTTAGTAAGCTAATTTTCACAACAGATAATGGAATCATGTTTATTATGTCAGGAAATATCTTTTAGTGCCTCAGTTAATGTTTAAAATTAAGTGATGTTTATTAGATCATCTCTAACATACTTTCTTATTCTGAAAATTCTGTGACTATACAGGGTCTGGCACAAATAACACCCCTTTTTATTACAAAATCATAAGCATGTAATTCTGTAACATAACAGTATCACACTCAGGCACACCATATGACATTTTAGGTGAAATGTTCAAATTAAAAATATAAATTATTACGCCAATATTATTATCCTACCAACCATACTCAAGCAAGTGTTACTTCTGTATATAGGTATTTTATACAGATAATATAAGATTCTTAGTTTTATTCTTTATTTTTATTCATTTTTATATTTTTAAAAATATATTTTATTGATTATGCTATTACAGTTGTCCCATTTTTCCCATTTTATTCCCTTCTGCCCTGCACTCCCCACTCTGATCCTCATTCCCTCACCCTTAGTTCATGTCCATGGGTTGTACATATAAGTTTTTTGGCTTCTCCATTTCCTATACTATTCTTAACCTCTTCCTGTCAATTTTATACCTACCAATTATACTTCTTATTCCTTGTACCTTTTCCCCCATCCTCCTCCCTCCAACTCCCTCCTCATAACTCTCTATGTGATCTCCATTTCTGTGATTCTGTTCCTGTTCTAGTTGTTTGCTTAGTTTGTTTTTTATTTTTTTAGGTTTGGTTGTTGATAGCTGTGAGTTTGTTATTTTACTGTTCATAGTTTTGATCATCTTCTTTTTCTTAGATAAGTACTATTAACATTTCATACAATAAGGGTTTTGTGATGATGAACTCCTTTAACTTGACCTTATCTGAGAAGCACTTTATCTACCCTTCCATTCTAAATGAAAGCTTTGCTGGATGGAGTCATCTTGGATGTAGGTCCTTGCCTTTCATGACTTTGAATACATCTTCCCAGCCCCTTCTTGCCTGTAAGGTTTCTTTTCAGAAATCAGCAGCTAGTCTTATGGGAACTCCTTTGTAGGTTACTGTCTCCTTTTTTCTTGCTACTTTTAAGATTCTTTCCTTACCTTTAACCTTGGGTAATGTAATTATGATATACCTTGGTGTGTGCTTCCTTGGGTCCAACTTCTTTGGGACTCCCTGAGCTTCCTTGAAGTCTATTTCCTTTGTCAAAATGGGGAAGATTTCCTTCATTATTTTTTCAAGTACGTTTTCAATTTCTTGTTCTTCGTCTTCTGCTTCTGGCACCCCTATGATTTGGATGTTGGAACACTTAAAATTGTCCTGGAGGTTCCTAAGCCTCTTCTCATTTTTTTTGAATTCCTGTTTTTTTTTTCTTTCTGTTCTGCTTGAATGTTTATTTCTTCCCTCTGCTCCAAACTGTTGATTTGAGTCCCAGTTTCCTTCCCTTCACTGTTGGTTCCCTGTGTATTTCTCTTTATTTCACTTTTCATAGCCTTTACATTTTCCTTTATTTTGCAAGCATACTGAACCATTTCTGCGAGCATCATGATTACCAGTGTTTTGAACTCTGCATCTGATACGTTAGCTATCTCTTCATCCCTTAGTTGTTTTTTTTTGGAGCTTTCATTTGGGCCATTTTTGGGGGGGTCTAGGCACACCTGTTAGGTAGTAAAGGGTGGATCCTTAGGTATTCACCAGGGTGGGGCAACCCACATGACTACATTGCGGTGCTCTATGTGGGGGACAGGTCGAGAGGGAACAATGCTGCTTACTCAGCTCTTGTTCAGCTTTCATTAACTTCCTCTACTACCCACAAGCAAATTGGGCCCTTCTGCTGCTGATACCCAGGTGGATGGGTTTCTGTACATTCTAGGACCCTGTAGGTCTCTCCAGTGAACTCTCCTGTAAGGCTGGAGTTGCTCCCGCTGCTGCAACTCCCACGGGTTTTTCAGTCAGAGTTTTTGAGTCTTTATTTCCCTGCGCTGGTACCCTCAGTTTCACGGTCTGTCTTTCTCCCCAGTTCTTTCTCCCCGTTTATCCACACACAAATGTAGGACCACCCTGGCTGCCCATCTCCGCCCCTCCTACTGGTCTGGATGAATGTTCTTCTTTAACTCTTTGGTTGTCGGACTTCTATACAGTGTGATTTTTCTGGTATTTCTGGTTGCTTTTTGTTTTAAAATTTGTCATCCTTCTTTTGGCTGTGGGAGGAGGCACAGTATATCTACCTATGCCTCCATCTTGGCCAAAAGTCTAAGTTTATTTATTTATTTTTAGAGAGAGGGGAAGGGAAGGAGAAAGATGGAAAGAAACATCAATGTGTGGTTGCTTCTCTTGCACCCCCAACTGAGGACCTGGCCTGCAACCCAGTCATATGCCCTGAACGGGAATCAAACCGTCTACCCTTTGGTTTGTAGGCTGGCACTCAGTCCACTGAGCCACACCAGCCAGGGACTTAGTTTTATTCTAATTAGTTCCTACTACTAATCTTGTTCAAGGCCAAATTAGGCTTTTAAAGAACTTCAAATTATCTCTGAGCACTTCTATAGGCATTTGTTGCTCTACTATAACTTCATAGGTACTGTCATATATTCAAAAGAAGGAAATGACATTTGAGAAAGCTTTGTTTTTGCATACCCCTGATCGTGTAAGTTAAAATTCGGTTAATAGAATCATTGTTTCTAAACAGAAAAGGTCTAGAATCATGAAACTCCATTTAGAGGAAAAACAGTTGTTTGGCAATAAAAATCTTAGCAGGAAGCATTTGAATCTCATTTTAAGAATTTTTTATAGGTAGAAAAAAAAATCACACGAACAGAGGACTTTCTTGTGAAGCAACACTTTTGTTAGCTTTAGTTACTTGGAAGGACTATTGTAATATAAAACCAGTGGTATTTTTATGAATTAACATAAAGACATTGGGTAAAAAGCACCTACTTTGATGTTTCACTCTGTATTATCTGTTGAATATAAGTGTGCACAAATTCGTAACTGTTCGTTGAAACATTTACCTGTTGGCCTTTTTAGACAATAAAATGTGTCTATTGCTGCATCCCATTACGTACTGGCCACATCTTTAAATCTGAAGATGTGATTGTAATTTATTGTTTAAGCCCCATAGCTTTTATTTGTCCAGCTATGATAGGTTTATATGAAGAAAATTAGGGCTTATTGCTTTAGCAAATGTACTGAGCAATGTATTTTTTCTTTAGGATCAAACAGAGCATACTGAATCAGCAGGACTGGCTGGTAGTGCAGCAGGCATCATGAGTAAGCACAGAGAAGTCTGTTTCTTATCACGTGTGTAAGGGAAACAAGGTAAGGAAACCAGTGTTCTTATTTCTCTTAGAGCTTGAGAAAACAACTAGATCTATAGAAAATAATGCTCATGGATATATGCTGCTTGCTTCATTTATAACATTGCTTCATGTTAAATCAGGAGTGTAGTTTTAGGAAAAATTTGACCTAAATTCAGAACCAAAGGGTTATTTTAAAATTACTGTTGAATTATGTCAAAATGCTAGTTTCTCTACCAGTGCTTGGCTTCTCACTTTCAGAGTCAACTTCTACCTTGAGCATAGAGTGGTAATTTCACCATGAAAAAGAATATAGATTTGAACAATATTGTTAAGAGCAAATAATAGTAATCCACCCAATTAATGTCATTTATATTCTTAGTCATCATGCAAGAGTTCAATAAGGAAAGCTCATTTTGGGGCAGGGAACAGAAATATAGATTTAATTACATTATTTTGTATTTTTAGACTACTGATGAAGAGCAGTACTTTGAAGCAGAAAATTGGAAGTATTTTATTCTTGTAGAGCAGGAATCATTGACTTTTTCCTGACTAGAAATCATTTGACTCTTTAAGGGGTAAAAAATGGTGGTGGGGTAGAGGATGTATAGATGGATTGGTTTCAGAAACTGATTATATCACAGGAAGAGCTGAGTAAGCATAGAGATAAACCATGTTATGTTTATGAATGTGAAGAATTAATATCATTCCCAATCATGAGGGAGAGGAAGGCTAGGCATTCTAATTTCTGAATGGTCATATTATGGACACTCCATTCAGTCCTGCTCCATTGCTGAGTATAGGAGTCACTTGGGGCAGTTTTCCCCTAGCTCTTGGTTTTGTGCAGAGAGCCCGGTCTGTCTCCCTTCATTGCAGAAACTTCAGTAAGTTTGCAGGCAATGATTTTCAAAAGCTGCTAGTTCTCAAATCCCTGAAGGTTGCTGTCTATGGACAGCCACCATTTAGTTCTCACTCATTACTATGGCTTGATTTCTTCCTGCTTTACGGCATTTGTATATTTCTTTTTCTCACTTCTGAATTTGAGTGTATAAACATTAAAAAATAATCTATTCTCTCTATATTCACAGTGGAAAGGAGTGCTTCCCACCACGAGCTCATCGCACTCTTTTCTTTTGAAAGATTTCAAGCTTATAGAAAAATTCAATAGTATAATGAAGACTCATAAATCCTTTACCTACATTCATCAGTCTTTACAATTTGCCTCATTTTCAGCGCCTCTCTTCCTCTTCTCCCTCTCTTACCCCTCTGATCCTCACACATTTTTTCCTAAATCATTCAAAAGTTAGTTGCAGATAACACAACATTTCTTTCTTTTATAAAAAAATATATATTTTATTGATTATGCTATTACACTTGTCCCAATATTTCCTCCTTGCCCTCTCCACCCCGCACTCCCTCAGGCATTTCCCACACCATTGTTCATGTCCATGGGTCATGTGCATAAGTTCTTTGGCTACTCCATTTCCAATGCTGTACTTTACATTCCCATGGCTATTCTGTAACTGCCAATTTGTACTTCTTAATCCCCTCACATCACCCATTCCCTCCCTTCTGATCTGACAACCATCAAAATGCTCTCTGTATCCATGATTCTGTCTCTGTTCTTATTTTTTTAATATATTTTATTGATTATGCTATTATAGTTGTCCCGTTACCCCCCTTCATTCCCCTCCACCCTGCACACCTTCTCCCACCCACATTCCCCCCCTTTAGTTCATGTCCATGTCTCATAAGTTCTTTAGCTTCTATATTTCCCATACTATTCTTGCCCTCCCCCTGTCTATTTTCTGCTACCATCTGTGCTACTTATTCTCCATACCTTTTTCCCCTCTCTCCTCCTCCCACTCCCCTGTTGCTAACCCCCCATGTGTTCTCCATTTCTATGGTTCTGTTCCTATTCTAGTTGTTTGTTTAGTTTGTTTTTGTTTTAGGTGTGGTTGTTAATAATTGTGAGTTTGCTGTCATTTTACTGTGCATGTTTTTTATCTTCTTTTTCTTAGATAAGTCCCTTTAGCATTTCATAAAATAAGGGCTTGGTGGTGATGAACTTCTTTAACTTGACCTTATCTGAGAAGCACTTTATCTGCCCTTCCATTCTAAACCAAAGCTTTGCTGGATAGAGCAATCTTGGATGTAGGTCCTTGCCTTTCATGACTTTGAATACTTCTTTCCAGCCCCTTTTTGCCTGTAAGGTCTCTTTTGAGAAATCAGCTGACAGTCTCATGGGCACTCCTTTGTAGGTTACTGTCTCCTTATCTCTAGCTGCTTCTAGGATTCTCTCCTTCATTTTAATCTTGGGTAATGTAATGATGATGTGCATTGGTGTGTACCTCCTTGGGCCCAACTTCTTTGGGACTCTCTGAGCTTCCTGGATTTCCTGGAAGTCTATTTCCTTTGCCAAAATGGGGAAGTTCTCCTTTATTATTTGTTCAAATAACTTTTCCACTTGTTGCTCTTCCTCTTTTCCTTTTAGTACCCCTATAATTCGGATGTTGGAATGTTTAAAGATGTCCTGGAGGTTTCTAAGCCTCTCCTCATTTTTTTGAATTCTTATTTCTTCATTCTCTTCTGGTGGAATGTTTCTTTTTTCCTTCTCATCTACTTTATTGTTTTGAGTCCTGGTTTCCTTCCCATCACTGTTGGTTCCATGTGCATTTTTCTTCATTTCTTTTATCGTAGCCTGCATTTGTTCATCTAATTTGCGACCAAAATCAACCAATGCTGTGAGCATCTTATACACCAGTGCTTTGAACTGTGCATCTGATAGATTGGCTATCTCTCGGTAGCTTAAAAGCACTGGTTCTGGAGTTTTCAATTCTGTTTGAGCCATTTTTCCCCTCTTTGGTCTGGTCGCACCTGTTACATGTGAGGGGCAGAGCCTTAGGTGTTCACCAGGGTGGGGTACCCCAGTTGCTGGGTTGTGGCGTTGTATGTGGGGTCCGAGAGGGAACAATGGCACTTGCTCCACTCTCCGTAGGACCTCAGTCCCTTCCGCCACTTCCCCCCAGCAAACTGGGCCCCTCTGGTGCCGATTCCCGTGTGGGTGGGCCTGTGCACACCGTGGGACTTTCCAACAACCTCTCCTGTGAGGCTGGGAGTCTCTCCCTGCACCTCAACTTCCACAGGTGTTTTCAATCAATGTCTTGTAGCTCTGTTTCCCAGCGCTGTGATCCTGGGTTGTGTGCAGTACCTTGTATCACAATTCCTGCCTCGCTGGATCTGCCGTTTGCCACCACTGGGCTGGGGTCTGCCAGCTGCTGCTTGTGCGCTCAGGGTCTACCCACTGCCGTCTTGCGCACCCCGGATGCCTTACATGCCCATTCCCAACACTCTTTGCTCTCCGCCTTGACCCGCACCCAGCTCCCCGACTCCACCCCTCCTACCAGTCTGGATGAACGGGTCTATTTTAACTTCTTGGTTGTCCGACTTCCATACAGTTCAATTTTCTGTCAGTTCTGGTTGTTATTCTGTTTCTAAATTGTTGTTGTCCCTATCTTGGTTGTGCGAGGTGGCACAGTGTGTCTACCTATGCCTCCATCTTGGCCGGAAATCAAAATAAGACACCTTCTTATTTTTTTTTAAGGACAGTAGCTTTATTTTTTTTAAGATTTTATTTATTTTTAGAGAGAAGGGAAGAGAGGGTGAAAGTGTGAGAGAGAAACATGAATGTGTGGTTGCCTCTCACACGCCCCCTACTGGGGGACCTGGCCTGAAACCCAGGCATGTGCTCTGATTGGGAATCAAACTGGCGACCCTTTGGTTTGCAGGCTGGCGCACAATCCACTGAGCTACACCTGACAGGGCTCACAGGTACTTACTGAAAAGATACTACATTAGGTTCTCTGCTAATCACTTGGTGAACAGTCTAGTGTGTGTGTCTTTGTAGTATCAACAGACTAGTGGGAATGATTGATATTAATCAAATAATGACACCAATGTATACTTTTAGATTGTTATAAAGGAAAAAGTGGAGTCCTGTGAGAAATTATAAGGGGAATTCACCTTTTCTAGGATTTCAGGGAAGATTTCCCTGTGAAAGTAAGGTAAGAGCTGAAAGATGTAGAATTTTGGGTATAGGGAGGGATGTGTTGGAGGCAGCTGGGTAAAAGGCCCCAAAGAGGGACCTTTTGTATCATTTGTTTTGTCTATAAATTATATTTTAACAATTGAAAGTGTAATACTAGTTTGGTCTTTGTAGATTTAAATAAGTCTCTTGAGTGGCGTTTCCTCACTGATGGAGAATTACTTCCAAGCAGAAGCTTACAACCTGGACAAGGTTTTAGATGAATTTGAACAAAACGAAGGTGAGAACTTACTTTGGCAAAGGTGTATGAATGTGCTTATGATGTAGAGAATGTAGGGTTATAAGAGAATTCAGTACTTTTTAAAAAAGTGAAATCAATTCCAATAACTTAACAGTATTATATATTAATATCCAGAGTAATAACTAAGATGTTTAATCACTCATATGTTATATGAGATATATTAAATAATGTATATGGATTTTATTTTATTTTTAAAATAATCCCATGAAAGTAGATGTTATTTACATGTTACATATGAGAATAGAGGCAAAGAGAGGTCAAGCAACTTCCCCAAAGCTACTTTGCTAAGAAGTGGCAGGATTAGAATCCAGGCAATATGTACTAGAGTCTGAATTCTCCTCTGTTACATATGGACAATTTATTATCAAGAAAAGCTTTAAATTGTGTGATTATATTTCCTAAACTAAGGAAAATAGCTTGTTGAATGTTGATTGACCAGTAAAATAAAGACTTATTTTAAACCTAATTTTAAAAGATTTACATTTTTTTAAAGATTTTTTATTTTGTTTTTTAGAGATAGGGGAAGGGAGGGAGAAAGAGAGGAAGAGAAACATCAATATGTGGTTGACTCTCATGCATCCCCCACTGGAGACCTAGCCTGAAACCCAGGCATGTGCCCCGGACTGGGAATCACCATTGTGACTCGTTGATTCACAGACCAGCACTCAACCACTGAGCCACACCAGCCGGGGCTCCATTTCTTATTTTCCCAACTAGATTATGTACTTTTTGGAGGCCAGAGCTATCATTTAATTTCCACATTCCTCAAGCTTGGTGCTTTTACTCTGATGGATACTCACTTAGCATGTGTTTATTGTCCACCTACTACATACCAGGCACTATGCAAAGTAAGGACTTATATTGATGGAAAGGAATGGTTTCTGCCTGGAAAAGTGAGGTGACTTAGCCATTCATTACAGTGCAGCAAATGCTTTGATAAAGATATGAAGAAGGTGCTATGGGAGCATTAAAGATTAATGTTACTACTGAGGGGAAAATGTATTTGTATAATTTTAGGACTATGATTATCAGATTTACTGAAGAAAGCAAGAAGGGTAATAAGTATATTATTTTTTCTTTAATTAAATTTACACATTGCACTGTAACTTGGGGAAAATAGCCATCTTAGTTATGATCTAAAAAAATAAACAGGAAGATTAAATTATGCTTATTGATAAGAATGTGTTGATTTAATAAAGTAATGGAATACTTTCTGCCAAATGTCCTTAGCAATGTAAATCTGAACCTAATTAATATATTGTGACATAATTATGACAAGACTTTCATATACTGTAGCATAGTTTTTTTAACTTATGGACAAATTTTAAATATATATATAAAGTAAACAATAATATAGTAAACTCTGGCATACCTATTACCCAGCTTCTATAATAATTGACATGCTGCCATTTTTTAAAAAGTTTATTTATTTGCTTTTTAGAGAGAGAGAGAAACATTGATTGGTTGTCTTCCATGTGTGCCCCAACTGGGGACTGAACCTACAATCCAGGCATGTGCCTTGACTGGGAATTGAACTGGTGACCTTTCTGTTTGCCAGATGACACCCAACCAACTGAGCCACACCAGCCAGGGCCATGCTGCCATCTTTGGTTCATTTATATCTTCAACTGCTCCTCACTTCCTGCTTTATTATGGTTCTTTTTTTTAACAGTTTTTAAAATCTACACACATTGAAATGTACAGATGTTAACTGTACATTTTTGACAAATAGATATATATTCAGGTAATCCAATTTCAGTCATGATGTACATAATAGAACATTCTGAATCCACAGAAAATTCCTTTCTTTTCTTTCCCACTTAGTTACTATCATCTTCATCACCATTTTGATTTTTTTCCTCCTTAGATTAGTCCTCACTCAGTGTTGTACTCAGCCAATCCGAGCCCTTCCCTATTACTGGTGCCCCACTACCCCCAAGTACAGCCTGAGAGCTGCTTGAATTATGTTGCTAGACTGAGGTAGAATACTTTTGTTGTTTGAAATGTTCTGGGATATTACTATTCAGTGACATATAGTACAGGGGACAATTGTAAATATATTTTCTTATTCTTAGCTATGAAACAGAAACTGTATATCTTAGGGATATCTTATTTTCAGACTGTATTTACAAAAGTAGTCGACTAACTTAGTTCTAGATTTTCCAATGTTACCAGAAAACTTACTGTAATTATTTATTTTTTTCAGATGAAACAGTTTCTCCTATCTTATTGGATACAAGATGGAGTAAGCTTCTAGATCCCTCATCTCATCTGCTGTCATTTAACCCTGCACTGGCCAGAGCGAATGAACCTTCAGTTTCTAGTGAGTCACAGCCACAGCTGAAAGTCTTCTCCGTAGCTCATTCAGCTCCTCTGACCACAGAGGAAGAGAACCATTGTGCTAATGGGCAGGACTGTAGTCTGAATCCAGAGAGCAACACAATGTGGATTGGTGAAAATGCCATTGCAGAAGATCAGTTAATTAAGAGGAACTGTAATCAAGATGATCAATGCAGTACTATTGAAGTGGGAGAGAAGAAATGTGGAAACCTAGCTTGTCTGCCAGATGAGAAGAATGTTCTTGTTGTAGCCGTCATGCATAACTGTGATAAAAGGACATTACCCAGTGATTTGCAGGATTGTAATAATTATAATACTCAGTCCCTCATGGATACTTTTAGCTGTTCACTGGATAATGAAAACAGACAAACTGATCAATTTAGTTTTAATATAAATGGGTCCACTGAAAAAGATATGAACTCAGAGAAACAAATGGATCTGTTGAGTAGGCCAAATGTAGAGGGGGATTCTGTTAAACATATATGTACTACTTCATCTGATAATCCAACCAGTATCTGTTCCCCTTCACAAGTAAAGGATGATGAAAATATTGGTAGCGATCCCTCCATGTCTGTGGTTACAAATTTAACAGTTGATCCAATAATCTCATCCCAGGGAACAGATGAAGATCCTGCTGTTAAAAACCAAGAGAACTGTATACCAGATGAGATTTTCACTGACAAAACCAGCTCTTCTAGGACAGATTTAGGGAATCTAAACTCCTTTTCCCATTATAGTGAGGGCATTTTGATGAAAAAAGAGCCAACAGAAAAGATAACCAACGAAGAGCCCATCCAGTCTGGTTTACCTTTACTTCTCAAACCAGATATGCATAATGGATCTGGAAAGGATGAGAACTGTGAACAGTCTTCAGATTGCCTTGTACCCAGTGAAGTTAGAGCTGGTGAAAATGAAGGTTGTGAGCGTGAAGAAATTCTTGGCACTACAGAACTTCTTAATATGACAGAGCATTTTTCTGAATCTCAGGAGATGATTAATTGGAAATTGACTAAACTAAATGAGATGAATGACAGCCAAGTAAATAAAGAAAATGAGAAGTTTCTGCAGATGAATCAGCCTGAGGACACTTACAATGATAGTGGAGGAGAGTGTGATAGAAGGGGAGAAGCAGGTCTAGATTTAAAAGGAACTGTCATGAATGAAAGTAAAGAATGTGATTTCTCTACTGTTATGGATACACCAGCAGCAAATACTTCTAATTGTTGTGATTCCTATGGAATGCAGAGCCCCGTTTGTTTTGTTCCAAAGACTTTACCCTCCAAAGAAGATTCAGTAACAGAAGAAAAGGAAATAGAGGAGAGCAAATCAGAATGCTACTCAAATATTTATGAACAGAGAGGAAATGAAGTCACAGAAGGGAGTGGATTACTTTTAAACAGCACTGGTGACCTAAAAAAGAAAAATTATTTACACAATTTCTCTAGCCAAGTTTCATCAGTGCTTGGGCAATCTTCACCCAAGATAGTAGCAAACCTGCAATCCATCAGTGTTCCGTTTGGTGGTGCAAGACCGAAGCAACCTTCTAATCTTAAACTTCAAATTCCAAAGCCATTATCAGACCATTTACAAAATGACCTTCCTGCAAACAGTGGAAATAATATTAAAAACAAAAATGATGTTCTTGGGAAAGCAAAAATAGGGGAAAACTCAGCAGCCAATGTATGCAATACCTCTTTGGGAAACATTTCTATTACTGATACAAATGGGGAACATTTAGAAAGTTACGAGTCTGGGGTATCTAGTAGACCGTGCCTTGTATTAGCTCCAGATAGCCCAGATAATGATCTCAGAGCTGGTCAGTTTGGAATTTCTGCCAGAAAGCCATTTACCACTCTGGGCGAGGTGGCTCCAGTATGGGTACCAGATTCTCAGGCTCCAAATTGCATGAAATGTGAAGCCAGGTTTACTTTCACCAAAAGGAGGCATCATTGCAGAGCATGTGGGAAGGTAAGTTGTGTGTATCAGCTCAGAAATCTAGCATGCTTATTTTGTAATGCTCAGTTAGAAATTAATAAAGGAACTACAAGGTGGTTGAAGTGATATTATAAATAGCTTTTGATCACCCAGTTCTAGTTCTAAATAAAAAATGACCTTGCTGATTATTAGTGTTTATAAAAGCTTTTTTTAGAGCCACGATTTAAGCTGAATCAGTTTTCATAAACATGAGAATTGAGGAAGTGTTAACTTTGTGGTTTATATATTGACAGATAGTTAGAATGGAATTGTTTGAAATAAGGAAGTTATTCTTTTTTCCTTTTTTATTGAATTTATTAGGGTGACACTGGTTAACAAAATTATACAGGTTTCAGGTGCACAATTCTACAACACATCATCTGTTCACTGTAGTGGTTGTTCACCACCCTAAGTCTTCACCTATACCATTTATCCCCCCATATTCTCCTCCACCTCCCTCTACCCCCTTCCCTTGCACAATCACCACACTGTTGTCCATGTCCATGAGTTTTCTCTCTCTTTTTTCTTTTTTTGGTGCAATCTTTCTATCCCCAGCCCCACACAACCCCAATGGCAGTCAGCTTGCTCCCTATCTATGAGTCTGTCACTACTTTGCTTGTTAGTTCATTAGATTGCCCATGTGAGTGAAACCAAATGGTATTTGTCTTTTTCTGACTGGCTTATTTCATTTAGCATAATACTCTCCAGGTCCATCCATGCAAAGGGTAAGATTTCCTTCCTTTTTTACTGCCAAGTAGTATTCCATTATGTAAATGTACCACAGCCTTTTTACCCACTCATCTACTGATGAACACTTGGGCTGCTTCCAAATCTTGTGATTGTAAATAACACTGTATTGAACATAGGGGTGCATATATTCTTTCATGTTAGTGTTTTGGGTTTCTTTGAATAAATTCTCAGAAGTGGACTTGCTGGTCATGAGGAAGTTCCATATTTAATTTTTTGAGGTAACTCCAAACTGCTTTCTGTAGTGGCTGCATCAATCTGCATTACCACCAATAGTGCATGAGGGTTTTTTTCTCCACATCATCACCAGCACTTGTTATTTGTTGATTTATTGATGATAGCCATTCTGACAGGTGTGAGGTGATATCTTATTGTGGTTTTTATTTGCATTTATCTGATGATTAGTGATGTTGAGCATCCTGTCGTATGTCTGTTGGCCATCTGTATGTTCTCTATGGAGAAGTCTTTATTCAGGTCCTTTGCCCATTTTTAATTGGATTATTTGTTTTTTGGGTGTTGAGTTTTTAAAGTTCTTTGTAAATTGTGGATATTGATTAACCCTTTATCAGATATACTAGCAAATATGTTCTCCCATTCAGTGAGTTGTCTTTTCGTTTTGTTGATGGTTTCCCTTGCTGTGCAAAATCTTTTTAGTTTGATATAGTCCCATTTGTTGATTTTTTTCTTTTGTTTCCCTAGCCCTAGGAGATATATCAGAAAAGATATTGCTACAAGAAGTGTCTGAGATTTTACTGCCTATGTTTTCTTATAGAATTTTTATGGTTTGAATCTAACATTTAAGTCTTTAATCTGTTTTTGAGTTTATTTTTGTGTATGGTGTGAGAAAGTGGCCTAGTTTCCTTTCTTATTTTTATTTACTTATTTTAGAGGGGAAGGAAGGGAGAAAGAGAGTGAGAGAAACATCAGTTGGTTACTTCTTGTATGCACTCTGACCAGGAACTGAACCTGCAACCCAGGCATGTGCCCTGGTAGGAAATCGAACTGGTGACCTTTTACTTTGCAGGACAACACCCAACCAACTGAGCCACACTGGTCAGGGCTCTCTTTTTTATATGAGTCTTGGTAAAGGTTTATCAATCTTGTTTATCTTTTCAAAGAACTACTTTTTGGTTTCTTTGATTTTTTTTTTGTCTTACTTTTTAGACTTAATTTTGTTTATTTCTGCTCTGATCTTTATTTTCTTCCTTCTTCACTTTGGGCTTTGTTTATTGTTTCTTTTCAAGTTCCTTTAAGTGTAAAATTAAACTTTATGTGAGATTTTACTTCTTAAGATAGGTCTATAATGCTATGACTATTTCTCTTAGGACTGCTTTTGCTGTGTTCCATAGATTTTGGGTTGTTATATTCTCATTTTCATTTGTTTCAAGGTATCTTGATTTTTTTCCTTGATCCCATGGTTAACTCATTCATTGTTTAGTAACATGTTATTTAGCCTTCATGTCTTTGTGTGTTTTTTGGTTTTCTCCTTGTGATTAATTTCTACTTTCATAACATTATGGTCAGAGAAGATACTTGATACGGTTTCAGTCTTCTTAAATTTATTGAGACTTGTTTTGTGTCCTAACGTGTGGTGTATCCTTATGTACTTGAAAAAAAAAAAGTATATTTTGCTGCTTTGGGGTGATATGCTCTGAAGATATTAATTAAATCCATCTGATCTATTGTGTCATTTATGGATGCCATTTCCATGTTGATTTCCTATCTGGAAGATCTATTTATTGTCAGTGGGATATTAAAATCCCCTATTATGACTGTATTACTGTCTATTGAGATTTACTTTACATATTTAGGTGCTCCTGTGTTTGGTGCATAAATGTTTACAAGGGTTATATCCTCTCGTTGGAATACCCCCTTTATCATTGTGTACTATCCTTCTTTGTCTCTTACTGCAGCTTTTGTTTTAAAGTCTATTTTGTCAAAAAGTATTGCTACCCAGCTTTTTCTCCCTTTGCATTTGCATGAAATATCTTTTTCTATCCCTTTACTTCCACTCCATGTGTATCTTTCATTCTGAGGGAGGTCTCTTGGAGACAGAATATAAATGGGTCTTGTTTTCTTATCCATTCAGCTACCCTATGCCTTTTGATTGGAGCATTAAAGCCATTTACATTTAAAGTGATTATTGATAGGTACATATTTATTGCCATTTTATTCTTTTAACTGTGTTCCTCCATTGTTGTTTCTTGTCCTCGCCCTCCTCTCCCCTCCCACCCCCCTGCTCCTCTACCCTTCTTTTTTAAAGATTTTTTTTTAAAGATTTTATTTATTTATTTTTAGAGAGAGAAGAGAGAGAGAGAGAGAGAGAGAGAGAGAGAGAGAGAGAGAGAAAGAGAAACATCAATGTGCGGTTGCTGGGGGTTATGGCCTGCAACCCAGGAATGTACCCTGGCTGGGAATCGAACCTGGGACACTTTGGTTCCCAGCCCGCACTCAATCCACTGAACTACGCCAGCCAGGGCTACCCTTCTTTTTTGTTCTTGCAGTCCCTTTACCATTTCTTGTAATACTTGTTAGGTGGTAACAAACTCCTTTAGCTCTCTCTTGTCTGGGAAGCTCTTTATTTCTCCTTCAATTTTAAGTGATAGGCTTTGCTTGGTAAAGTAGTCTTGGTTGTAGCAAAGTAGTCTTTGCTTTTCATCACTTTGAATATTTCATGCCAATCTCTCCCAGCCTGAAATGTTTCTGTTGAGAAATCAGCTGACAATCTTATGGGAACTCTCTTGTGTGTGATTGTCTTTTTCTTGTTGCTTTAGATTCTTTCTCTTTAACTTTTGCCATTTTAATTATAATGCATCTTGGTGTAGGTCTCTTTGAGTCCATCTTGTTTGGGACTCATTGTACTTCTCTGGACTTGTGTGTCTTTTTTCTTCATCAGCTTAGGGAAGTTTTCAGTCATTATTTCTTCAAATAGGTTCTCAATACCTTGTTCTCCAGTACTCTTATGATGTGGATGTTGTTACACTTCATATTGTCCCAAAGACCCTTTAAACTGTCCTCGTGTTACCTTTTTCTTTTTGCTGCTTTGATTGGGTGGTTTTTTCTACCTTGTCTTCCAAATCGCTGATTCAGTCTTATGCTTCATCCAACCTACTGTTTATTCTTCCCAGTGTATTCCTAATTTCAGATATCATATTCTTCATTTCTGATTTTTTTTATGGTTTCTATGCTTTTCTTCATGCTGTTGAAAATCCTTATAACCATTACTTTGAACTCTACATCAGATAAATTGCTTGCCTCCATTTTATTTAGCTCCTTTTCTGGATATTTTATCTGTTCTTTTGTTTGGGGCCTGTTTCTTTGTCTCCTCATTTTGATGGTCTGTGTTTGTTTCTATTTATTAGATAGATCTGCTATGACTCCTTGTCTTTGTGTGGTAACCTTATGAAGTAGGTGCCCTGTGAGGTCCAGTGGTACAGTCTCCTTGATCCCCTGAGATGAGTGCTCAAGGAATGTCCCTTGTGTGGGTTATGTGGGCCCTTCTGTAATAATTGAATCTTAATTGTTATTGGCCTGTTTGTGCGTGGGATCGTCACTCAGGCTGGCTCACTGTGGGGTTCAACCCTGACCACAGTGTACAAGGTGCCATACAGGTGTTCTTTCAATTTAAGAAATGTTTGTGTTTAGTTTATATTTTGTAATTCTCGAGAAATTGAATATTACACATAGAAGCCATTCCAGTTTTTGCTGTAGTAGTTTTGCTCTTGTGCTAGACATTCTGGAACTTTTTATACACATGTACACATAATTTTGTCTTTTCTTCCATGTATCCTTAATACAAAACAGAGTTGAAGGGTATAAAGTTTTGTGACAAGATTGTAAGAGTAATTGATATTGCTTAGCTCTCCCTAAATTGTTTGCTAGTAACACATCAACTTACCAGCTTTCTTTCTTTTTTTAAAGAAGAGCTATATAAATAAGGGGATTTTGTGTTTTTATTTTTATTTATTGATTAAAAAATTTTTAATATGTTTGATTTTAGAGATGAAAATAAGGAGGGAAAGAGGGAGGGAGGGAAGGAAGGAGGGGGGAAGAGAGAGAGAAGCATGGATATGAGAGAGAAACATTGATCAGTTGCCTCCCATATGCATGCCAACTGGGGATGAAACCCACAACCTATGCATGTGCCCTGACCAAGAATCGAAACTGCAACCTTTTTGGTGTATAGGACATTGCTCCAGCCAGCTGAACCACCTGGCCAAGGCTTAACTTTTGATGAAATTCAGTTT